TTTTAAAATGCCTTCTTATACGTTCTTTTCTCTTTTTTTTTTTCTATTCATAGGTAAGTCTGTGTTGTTAAATTAATGAATCTGAATTTACATTCCAGTACGTTTCCTGTGATCCTGACATTTACCAGAGGAAAGCATTATGTCCAAATCCTTTTTCCTAGGGTTCCTAGGGGAAGACTTTGAAATTCAAGTTGCAAGCTTGGGAGAAATACTTTCCTTAGAGACGTGTGGGTGCAAGCTTTGCCAGGTCACGAGCAACACAAAGGACGCCTCCGGAGCCACGTCTTAATTTCCTGTTGAATGATAGGTGCCAGTACGGTTTTGAACCAGAAATGAAAATCGACTCAGATGAAAACTTCAAGTTTTAGAATGCAGATTAGTCAGAAAACAAACAAAATCTGGAAACGATGCCTCTTCTGTTACCAACGTACATGCTCCCAGACCTAAATTCTGTGTCAGATCCTAACCCCGGGTGGTCACAGTGACAGTCTTTATGGGCCCATGAATCAAGCACACTGAAGAAGCTGGACAGTTCCTGCTAATGGGCCTCTCTCTCCTGTGGCTAATGTCCTCTGAGCTAAAATCAGGTAGGTAAGATAGAAAGACCCGGCCTGAGTGCTTTATAGCTGTTGGCTTATGCTGAATTTCTGCTACACAATCTCAGAACCTTGGGAGAATTCAGTGTCCAAAGTTGTTTCAGAATGAGAACCGATAAAAGTCAGAAAAGAAGGAAGAAATGACAATCGAGCTTACCTCTTAAAATGTTGTGATAAAAGAAGCCTTCTATGTAGCCTATTTTAGACCACAGTTGTACTAACTTACGTTGTAAATGTCAAAAGAGACCTTTTGGATTTACGCGTTTCTGTTGTAACTGAGATCTAAGTAGAACTTAACGGGAAGACAATTTTCACAGTTTTTCGCATGCTACGAAAAGTGATCATCAGCACTTGATAGGGAAAAAGTTTTCTTGACACAAAGTGATTGGGGGAAACATAGGAATCAGTCATCACAGAAAGGAGCCAGTGTTTTTTAAATTGTCCATAGTGTTTGGCTTTCTGTGAAGCTGAACATGTTAGAAATCTCAGGAGGCTTCTCGTTATGATGACTTAAGTCTCTGAACAGTCATTTTTATGGAAAGTTTAGAGCATTTCTTTTTGGTCGTTGCTGTTCTTATTCACTCAGATGAAATTCAGAAAATCGTACTTTGGATGTGAATAGTCACGGCGCCTGTGTTTCCTAGTGCAGCTGGTTACTATTAGCCTTTTGCAGCTTGCAAAATTTCAGGCAGTTTGATATAATTCAGTATAATCGAAGAGTGTTGGAATAGAAAATGGTGTTCTAGTATATGCATTATATTGTCTCCTCTTAATGTCTGTTTGAATATATGTCCATAATTTTGAAGAGTTAAAAACTTTTCTACGTATCTTGACAAGCCTGCAGTCTATTAGCCATTAGGGCACAGTGGTGAAGAATAGTTTGGTGCCACTGCCTTGATGGGTACTAGGGTGCCAGCAGTTTTACCACCTTTGATTTTGTACCATCAGTACAGCATCGACACAGCCAAAAACGCAGACAGCATCTCAGTGTTGTTATGAAAGTAGTTTTGACATTGTAGACCCTATGAAAGGCGTCTGGAAACCCCCAATGATTTGTGGACCACACTTGGAGAACTGCGACGGTAGTTAGAAAAGTTAGTTAAATAGACAGAATAGAATAGGGAGGGATGACACCGTGCATTGGCTGACACTGCCAGGGGAGGGTTCCAGCCCCCGGAGGGCAGCGAAACTCATCACTGGTATCAGAGTCGCCAAGGAAAACACAGCGCGCTCTAGCGCTGGATGGACCAACACTTTTACTCGTGTGGAGAAGAGACAGAGGAAGATCAGCTCCAGTAAACAATGTGTGTTGCTCTCCCACGGCCAGCAGTTCCCCACCCCAGCCGAGGCAGGACGAACGGCCTGCACGCATCTCTCTTGTGCTGCAGCAGAAGGACCCGGTCCCTCCCCGAGGAGTCTGAAATACTGAAAGTCTGCGGGTTATCCAGACACCCACCGGAGCGGAGCGAAGGAGCCCACAGTGAGCCTGAAACAGGGAAATACATCCCACACAAGGCCGTAAAAGACCAGGCTGTGTGGGCTCTTTCCCTTGGTGAGGAAGTATCCAGGGAGCGAGTGAGGTCGAAGGGCCGTGGGCAGGAGATTGCCTTTCCCGGCAATTGTGTGATCTGTTCCCACTCCAGTCTTACCTACTGCTTCTCTTTATCTAACCTCATCCAGTTGCTTTCCTTCCTTTTTTTGGTCAAATTATTTTGCCTTCATGTGTTCTGTAATGTTTTCTCACTTGAAAATTATTATAAAATTTAATCGTGGGCTTCCCTGGTGGCACAGTGGTTGAGAGTCCGCCTGCCGATTCAGGGGACGTGAGTTCGTGCCCCGGTCCGGGAGGATCCCACATGCCGCGGAGCGGCTGGGCCCGTGAGCCATGGCCGCTGAGCCTGCGCGTCCGGAGCCTGTGCTCCGCAACGGGAGAGGCCACAACAGTGAGAGGCCCGCGTACCAAAAAAAAAAAAAAAAATTAATCGTATAGATGTTTGCTTTTAAAAATTAATAGTGGAGGAAATGAGGCCTCATTTAAAAATTATAACCAACTAGCAGTCAATCCAAAGTAGTAAGTAAGTGCTGGATAGCTACCTATTACAGGTGTCCTCAAGACTGAAGAAAGGATAAAATCAAAACTTCCGGGACTCATGCCATCTTCGTATCTGGGGGGCATGTCGTCGCTTCCAGTCACTGCCCCCTCCTCTTATTTTCTGCCTACTTAGAGCCTTTCGCCACTTTCACAAACTATTTGGAGTAAATAATGCTGAATCCTGCCTACTTTGGGTGCTTGTTAAACTGGTGACCGACTTCCTGTTGTCGATAGGCTTATCAATAGAGAATGCAAAAGGCAGAGAGATCCGCTACAGAACGGGATTATTTCTCCACTGTTTCTACATGGGGAGTATTCCTGTGTTTTTCTCATTCTTGCAAGAGACAACGGCTACTAGACTCGCCCTTTTCACTTCACTGGAGGGACGTTCTCACCTCTCTTGAGGGCACCTCTGGTGTACCCTGCTAGAAGGAAGCCACCTGTTTCCTCTGGTCAGTGGGCACTGCCTCAAGTTATAAGTTCTAGGTAGTATTCTGGGGAGAATTTGAATTGCTTTGGATTAACTGTCCTAATGTGTAAGAATGGCTGGTAAACTCTGAAATGGTATACACTGGAGAGGTGCCAGCGAGATGATTTCTAATTTTTAACTACACGTAAGTTCATTCATCTTGCCAGGGACAAAACTTACAGATGTCAGATTATAAATATTGCTGCGACAAGAAACCATCTCTAGACTATCTGAAACGTTCTGCTGTGCCTTACTCATTTTATTTGGGTAACATGAGCGGTTTCCCTAAACACACAAGTCATGTGAAAAGTACTTTGCAATCTGTAAGTGTATGTACAAATAATAGTTACTGGAAGGTAATAAAGTAAGAGGAAGACATGAGAGGAAAGAGGAAGACATAAGAGAAAGAGGAAGACATGAGAACAAGGGTAAAACACTTGCAAGAAAGAGGAGGCTGCCTAACACACAGACATGAGGGTGATGTGACTATGCAAGGGGACTTTGATCTTCAAGACAGGATTTCCGTCTTTCAGCGTTGCTCCCTTTTATAAACTGTAACTTGGTTCTTGTGCTTTTTTCATCCATACAGGACTTAGTTTTGATAGGATATATATGAATCTGTAAATGTATAGGTACAGATTTATATTGTACCTGTACTAAGTACAATTCATAGAGCTAAAATGAGTATTTCTGATTGGTCTTCATTATCATTTTGAAGATTACAGATCATCTAACTATACTATATATATTCCTGAGCTTTTTTTTTTTTGACAGATAAAAATTTGCCTGAGATTCCCAAGCATCTCAATGCCCATACCCACAATTGCTACTCACATTTGTCCAATGAATGTGAAGAAAACAAAACAAAATAACGACAGCAACAAGATTGCATCAATATGCAAGTGACTTGCTGTTAATAGGTAAACTAGAAACCATGGAAAACTATAAAGTGAAAAATAAGTTATCTATGATCCTACCACCAAGAAATAGTCCCTATATTAACATTTTGATATTTCCTTCCAGTCCCTCTTTTTCTGGCTTTTTCCTTAAAAACAGTTTTTTGGGTTTTTTTAGATCTAAAGTGACACGTAGGTTATTTTTAGTCAGTTAAGATTTAGGTAGAACCAGTGAAGGAGGGCAAAACTTAATGGATGAAATAAAAAAGCTTTAAAACTTTTTAATTAAAATATTCTGTATTACTATTTAGAAAACAGACCTTGAATTTAGACATAGAAGTACAGAACCACACTCCCCCCAACCGTATACTTTCTTGCCTTTTAATCAGTATATTTTATGAATATACCAACAACATCCTGAGGTGTATGAAAATACAGAACCTCAGACCCTGCTACAGTTGATCCTCTGTGTCTGCAGGTTCTGCATCCATGAAGATTCAACAATATTTGGGGGGAAAATTCCAGAATGTTCCAAAAAGCCATACTCGAATTTGCTGCACATTGGCAACTATTTACAAAGCCTTTACATTGTATTAGGTATTATAAGTAATTTAGAGACGATTTAAGGTATACTGGAGGATGTGCATAGGTTATATGCAAATATCATGCCATTTTATATAAGTTACTTGAGCTTCCATGGATTTTGGTATCTGAGGGGGCCCTGGAACCAATCCCCTGTAGATACCAAGGGACGGTTATAATTATTTTTCACTTTAGTGCTACTAACATATTTTAGAAGGTTTTGAAATACTATAATAGTTGTTTTTCAGGCATTCATAAACATATTTTACACCAGAATATGCGTCTTTCACAGAGGCTTTCAGTTTACTTCTTGGTGTTCTCATAGCATTCTTCAACCCTTTCTGTATAATTTTTTGTTGGATTAGCTCCTCTCTTTGGAAAACCTTGCAATAGAAGGAGGATGGACCCCACCCAGAAACTGGTTCTGATGTTGAGACGGATGACGCCACCATCACACCAAGTGAGTATGGAAAAGCTTATTTACTGAAGCTGTCTATAAAACAGAAAATCAGGGACATAGAAAATAGACTGGTGGTTGCCAAGGCGGAGGGGGTGGGGGAGGGTAGGAGTGGGAGTTTGGGATTAGCAGATGCAAACTGGTACATATAGAATGGATAAACAAGGTCCTACTGTACAGCACAGGGAACTATATTCAATATCCTGCGATAAACCATCACGGAAAAGACTACGAGAAAGAATGTCTATATATATGCATAACTGAGTCACTTTGCTGCACAGCAGTAATTAACACAACATTGTAACTATACTTCAGTAAAAAATAAATTAAAAAAAAGTTTATTTACATAGTCAGGTTTTCTGGGGCGAGCAGCCGCTGGCTCCCAGCCTGGTTTGAAAGTGGCTCAAGAGAGCAGGGGAGGGCGACTGCCTTGGTTTGGCGTAGGGTTCCCACGACCCAGCCTGGGCTTGTGTGGTTTGAACTTGCACCAAAGTAGGAGCATTCGATGCTCTCATCAGCTTGCTCAGATGTGGGGCACAGGGGAGGGATATGGGAGGGGGGCTTGGACACTGTAGTCAAACATGGAAATTGGAATCAGACTGTGTATGCCAAATCTACCTTCCTGACCGTTTGTGTAAATAGTTTTGAGGAATCTATTTTCTGTAGCATAGTTCAGGAGAATGATAACAATGTAATGTTACAATGTTACAATGATGGTAGCTGACATGTATACTTACTGTGTGCCAGGCACTGTAAAGACTGCTTTACACATATTAGTTCATTTAATCTTATAATCAGTCTATGCAGTAGGCAATAGTATCTTCATTCTACAGATGAAAAATCTGCAAACAGAGAGGTTAGGTAATTTTCCTAAGCTCACATAGCTAGTGAGTGGCAGAGACGGGATTTGAAAACAAGTAAAGACAAATTACCTTTAATTCTTTTTTCTTTCTGATTGTTTGCACTGGCCTCCAATATTCCATGTTAATTAAAAAGATTTTAAGAATAATGAACTTTGAATCACTTCCAATTTGTCTGTGTGAATTAGAGCAAATTTTGGGTCCCAGGAAATGCTCTTCCAAGGGAACATGTATTTCTGTTTCTTTAATTTAAAAACTTAGGGACATACCATTCCTACTAAATGATCCCGCACAGTTATAATTTTGTCCCTTTTTCATTGTGTTAGGATATTATACACATCTCTCTATTTTTTTAATAGAATTAGATTTCAGAAAACATGAAAGAGGGAATACAACTGCCCACATCTTTAATTAATTTGTACTGTCCTTGAGTTGGTAATTTATGGAGGAAAAAACTGGTACAGACTTTTATCTTCTTAGTGATGTGATTTTTTTCTCACTAATCTCCTTAACGATCTTTTTTCTGCTCTTTTAAATGTTTAGCTAATTGCTATCTAAATATCACTCGTGGGAAGTTTGTTACTTTTATCTCTGTGACTTAAGATATAATATTTGGTTAGAAAGGTGGTTGATAATAGTTTTTAGGTAAATACATATCTAGTAGAGACTTTTAAAATAATAATTTAACTTTTCTAAACTTTGTATAAAAATAAATCTAATCAGGAAGTGCTTTGAGAACTTAAAAAGCATTACTGAATACAGCTGACTGCTTTTAGGAGAGCATCTTATTTTAACTGTTCAGGCTGCTTTGAAACATTTTTTATTTCAATGCCCTTCTAAAGTCAATATTAACTATATGCGACTAATTGCATTTTTTCTTGAAATCTGTTATAAAACAATTTCTTGCATAGGAAATGTACTTTCAGTAAAGCGAACAGTTTTTTTCTTTGATGTTTTGTTTTAGACATTGTGTGGTTTTAGCTTGTCCGGGTGATTTTTTTCATTATGGTGTGAGATAAGAGTCAAGAGTCCTTTTTTTTTTTTTTAAGTCTATCACATGGATTTCCAGTTGTTCCAACACCATTAAGTTACCTTTGTCTTTGTGCTGAGAAATCAAATGGCCGTATATGCATGGGTATAGTTTTGAACTGCCTGTTCTTTTCCATCGGTCAACGTTTCTATTCCTACACCAATTCTGCACTGCCTTAATTACTGTATCTTTGCAGCAAGTTTTGACATTAGGTGGTATAAGATGTCCAACTTTGTTATTTTTCAAAATTGCTTGGCTATTCTAGGTCCTTTCCATTTCCACTCCCACATAAATTTTAGAATCTGTCAATTTTTACTTGTCTGAGAAACTGTTTACTTCTCCTTCCCTTTTTTAAAATAGTTTTTAAAAATTGTGGTAAAATATACATAATTTTTATCATCTTAACTATGCATAAGTGTAAATTCGGGGGCATCACTTACATCCACAATGCTGTGTACCCATCACCAGTATCTGCACCCAACATATAGACTCTGTCATCATCCCCAACATAGACTCTATTCCCAGGAAATACCAACTCCTCCTTTTCTCCTCCCCACCCCCCCGGCAACCTCTTTTCTGATCTGTGTCTGTGAATGGCCTATTCTAGCTACCTCGTCTCAATGGAATCATACAATATCTGTCCTTCTGTGTCTGGCTTATATCACTTAGTGAGACCTCATGGATATCTTCAAGGTCCATCCATGTTGTAGCATATATAAGCATTTAATTCCTTTTTATGGCTGAATAGTATCCCTTTGTGTAATATATACACCACACTTTGTTTATCCATTCATTTATTGATGGACGCGGTTGTTTCCACCATTGAGAATAGTGCTGCTGTGAACATGGGTGTGGAGATGCCTGTTTAAATCCCTGCCTTCAATCGTTTTGGATATACAGTTGACCCTTGAATGCAGGAGTTAGGGGTGCTGACCCTCCTACAGTTGAAAATCAGCATCTAACTCTATTTTATTTTATTTTTTTAAATAGGTGCAAAGTTTATTTTATATTTTTCAATATATTTTTTTTTAATATTTTATTTTATTTTGGAGTGTAGCCGATTAACAATGCTGTGATAGTTTCAGGTGCACAGCAAAGGGACCCAGACATACATATATGTGTATCCATTCTCCCCCAGACTCCCCTCCCATCTATTTTTTAAAAATTATTTATTTATTTATTTGGCTGCGTTGGGTCTTAGTTGCGACATGCGGGCTCTTTGTTGGGGCGTGCGGGCTTCTCGCTAGTTGTGGCTCGCGGGCTCTAGAGCACACGGGCTTAGTTGCCCAGCGGCACGTGGGATCTTAGTTCCCCAACCAGGGATCAAACCTGCGTCCCCTGCATTGGAAGGCGGATTCTTAACCACCGGACCACCAGGGAAGTCCCAGCTTCTAACTTTATAGTCAGCTCTCCATATCAGTGATTCTATATCCTTGAATTCGACCAACGATGGATCGTGTAGTACTGTAGTATGTATTTATCGAAAAAAATAAATTTCAATTTATTATACTCCACAAGTAAGTGGACCCTTGCAGTTCAAACCTGTGTTGTTCAAGGGTCAACTGTATACCTAGGAGCAGAATTCCTAGGTCATATGGTAATTCTATATTTAATTTTTTGTGGAACTGCCAAGCAATTTTCCACAATGACTGCACCTTTTTCCTTCATTTTTTTTTTTTTTGGTAGCACCGCATCTTAGTTGCAAGAGGCAGACTCCTTAGTTGCAGCACGTCCTTCACTTTTTTTTTCTTAAAGCTAGATTTATTCTATTTTAAATACTATCATTTATTATATTCTGTACTTCTTATTTTTTTTTATTCTTTTTACATCTTTATTGGAGTATAATTGCTTTACAATGGTGTGTTAGTTTCTGCTTTATAACAAAGAGAATCAGTTATACATATACATATGTTCCCATATCTCTTCCCTCTTGCATCTTCCTCCCTCCCACCCTCCCTATCCCACCCCTCTAGGTGGTCACAAAGCACCGAGCTGATCTCCCTGTGCTATGCGGCTGCTTCCCACTAGCTATCTATTTTACGTTTGGTAGTGTATCGCATGTCTTTCTTTCTTTCTCTCTCCCGCCCTCCCTCCCTCCCTTCCTTTCTCTCTCTGAGGCTTGCGGGATCTTAGTTCCCCGGCTATCTGGGATCGAACCCGCGACGCCTGCAGTGGAAGCTCGGAGTCCTAACCACTGGACCTCCAGGGAATTCCCTTGCATGTCTTTCTTGTTTAAACCTAGCAAACTCCACTTAGTTGTAGGATAACTTGGCATATTAAGCAAAATTAAATTCTAGCATAAAAGTAAATAGAACAGAGAAAAGTCAGATTATTTTAGGTTTGAAAGGGTGGGTAATTACAGTGGACATAAGAAGCTAATTTAATTTTTCTAACTATTCCTTTAAAGAAATTTGGAAAAAAGAAGAAAGGGAAAATAAAACAAAACAAGGTCTTGTCACCCCAAATTCTAACCTTAATGCTCTGTCTTCTCCAGTGTCTTTTTACTTACTTAGCTTGGCAACCACACCCAAGGGCACGCACTGGACCTGCTTCTCTCCCAAACTCAGTAATTCAAACACCCTCTCCCAACCACAACCGCTATGAGCATTTTCAGTCTCAGTGTGATCAGTGGGAGAAACCACTGACTTCTCCGTTTCCTCTTTTCTTTTTGCTCCTCTCCTGCCTGGTGTAGGTTCCATGTTACATTATTTCATTTGCTCTTTCTTGATTATGTGGGCCACTCCCTTTTCTCTCTGTCTTTCCCAGCTCCCGTCTCCTAAAATCCTCACCCAGAAGAAACTTTGTAATTACCATCCCTGGTAGTTACATTCTGGGTTGGTGCTTTTTTTCCTGCAACACTTAAAATATTTCATTCCACTGTTTTCATGCTTCCATGGTTTATGGTGAGAAATCTGATATAATTCATATCCTTATTTTGCTATGGGTAAAGTGTTCTTTTTCTCTGGCTTCTTTCAAGATATTTTCTTTGTCTTTGATCTTCTGCAGTTTGAATATGATATGCCGAGGTGTTTTGGTATTTAACCTGCTTCCTGTTGTCTGCGATTCCTGGATCTGTGGTTTGGTGTATGTCATTGATTTTGGAAAAGTGTCAG